GTAGATTTTTAAATGAAGATTTTTTCAAGAACCAATAGAACCCAAGGCGTAGATTTTTAAATGAAGATTTTTTCAAGAACCGTAGATTTTTAAATGAAGAACCCAAGGCGTAGATTTTTAAATGAAGATTTTTTCAAGAACCAATGGAACCCAAGGCGTAGATTTTTAAATGAAGATTTTTTCAAGAACCAATGGAACCCAAGGCGTAGATTTTTAAATGAAGATTTTTTCAAGGACCAACAAGGCGTAGATTTTTAAATGAAGATTTTTTCAAGAACCAATGGAACCCAAGGCGTAGATTTTTAAATGAAGATTTTTTCAAGGAAATGAAGATTTTTTCAAGAACCAATAGACCCAAGGCGTAGATTTTTCAAGAACCAATAGAACCCAATGCGTAGATTTTTAAATGAAGATTTTTTCAAGAACCAATAGAACCCAAAGCGTAGATTTTTAAATGAAGATTTTTTCAAGAACCAATAGAACCCAAGGCGTAGATTTTTAAATGAAGATTTTTTCAAGGATCAACAAGGCATAGATTTTTAAATGAAGATTTTTTTCAAGGATCAACAAGGCGTAGATTTTTAAATGAAGATTTTTTTCAAGGATCAACAAGGCGTAGATTTTTAAATGAAGATTTTTTCAAGAACCAATAGAACCCAAGGCGTAGATTTTTAAATGAAGATTTTTTCAAGAACCAATAGAACCCAAGGCGTAGATTTTTAAATGAAGATTTTTTCAAGAACCAATAGAACCCAAGGCGTAGATTTTTAAATGAAGATTTTTTCAAGGACCAACAGGCGTAGATTTTTAAATGAAGATTTTTTCAAGGACCAATAGAACCCAAGGCGTAGATTTTTAAATGAAGATTTTTTCAAGAACCAATAGAACCCAAGGCGTAGATTTTTAAATGAAGATTTTTTCAAGAACCAATAGAACCCAAGGCGTAGATTTTTAAATGAAGATTTTTTCAAGAACGTAGATTTTTAAATGAAGATTTTTTTCAAGGAACCCAAGGCGTAGATTTTTAAATGAAGATGTATTCAAGAACCAATAGAACCCAAGGCGTAGATTTTTAAATGAAGATTTTTTCAAGAACCAATAGAACACAAGGCGTAGATTTTTAAATGAAGATTTTTTCAAGAACCAATAGAACCCAAGGCGTAGATTTTTAAATGAAGATTTTTTCAAGAACCAATGGAACCCAGGGCGTAGATTTTTAAATGAAGATTTTTTCAAGAACCAATAGAACCCAAGGCGTAGATTTTTAAATGAAGATTTTTTCAAGAACCAATAGAACCCAAGGCGTAGATTTTTAAATGAAGATTTTTTCAAGAACCAATAGAACCTAAGGCGTAGATTTTTAAATTAATATTTTTTCAAGAACCAATAGAACCCAAGGCGTAGATTTTTAAATTAAGATTTTTTCAAGAACCAATAGAACCCAAGGCGTAGATTTTTAAATGAAGATTTTTTAAAGGTCCAACAGAACCCAAGGCGTAGATTTTAAATGAAGAGTTTTTTCAAGAACCAATAGATCCCAAGGCGTAGATTTTTAAATGAAGAGTTTTTTCAAGAACCAATAGAACCCAAGGCGTAGATTTTTTAATTAAGATTTTTTTCATGAACCAATAGAACCCAAGGCGTAGATTTTTTAATAAAAATTTTCTGTATAAATCTATCATTTAAATTAAGATTTGTAGAAGAAGCAATGAAAATATATTATAGCTTACCTTTTTCAGATATTGAAACCATGACAAATCTATTGGAGGGCACCACCTTTTGCATAAAAACACGTATACGAGTAATGACACCGAATCACTGATATTATATGACACAACTGATTTTTTTTTTTATTATAATTTTATTTTTGATTTAATTTTTTTTCATTTTCATATTTTAACACAATTTTATTAAGAAACTGAACTCGATATTCGATATATTCACAAATACATTGACATTCTTCACTAAAATGCGCGCCAACTCCAACCACACAAACCGAACTAAACATCCCTATTTACACAAAGCCACCAGCAACATCAAAACACTGCACATTCATGCACAACGGACACGGATCACACAAACATTTTATGGAAATGCATATTAAATCGATATTATTTCACAAAATAAACTATTTTTTTATAGCTAGGATATTTTTATATATATTTTAATAAATTTCTTATTATTTTTTTTATATATTTTACACTTTTTCTTATAAAATAACCGACCGCGAATTTCAAGACGACCGACCATTCAAGTGACAACGAATAAACTGATTGGAAGAGAGAGAAGGAGAGAGACTAATTAGAACAGAGTTGAACAGAATTAAATTGAGAGTAAGTGTGTGAGAAGAGAAAATGACTGAAGGAGAGAGACTATTTTGTGCATTAGTGAATTAGAATAAGAGATTGTTGTTGTTGTGAAATTCACCAATGGCGCAGCACTCAACAAGTATAGAAAATGATAAAGGATTGATAGGATTAGAAATCAAATTGTCAGTTATTATTAACTTACACAGGATTTACATTAGAACTTTTTACTGGGTTAACCTACTTTATGAGGATTTACCTACTTATTGAGGATTTGCATTTATACAATGGAATTGACAATTTAAACCCACTGGGTTAACGAAATCCGGTACAATTATACAAGTTAGGATGACTTGAGGTGAATAACAAAAAAAAAACAACTATGTAGGTAGTGGCTTTATCTGTCAAATATAAAATATTTGATAAATTTTCAATAGATAACTAATAAAAACGAGGTATGATATCATTTACATTCTGATTAAATCTGAATATACATTCATACTTCAATTTAATTTTACATGTTATTAAAAAAAAAAAATACAAAAAAATGTGTATATTTATTTGATAAAACAAGCCACCTTGAGAAAAAGTAGGAATAAGATGGTAGCTATGTCCTATCTTGTACTAATTATATGTCTTGGATTCTACTGGTTCTTCTAAAAATATTAATTTAAAAATCGATGCCTTGGTTTCATCGGGTTGTTGAAAACATCTTAATTTAAAAATCTACGTCTTGGTTTCTATTAATTATTAATGTTTTTGTTAGGTTTTCAAATAATGTTCATTTAAAAATCTACGCGTTGGGTTCTATTGTTTTTTCCAACAAAATTTAATTTAAAAATCTACGCCTTGGGTTCTATTGTTTATTCCAACAAATTTAATTTAAAAATCTAAGCCTTGGTTTCTATTGGTTCATGAAAAAATCGTCATTTAAAAATCGACGCCTTGGGTTCTATTGGTTCTTGAAAAGAAATCTACGCCTTGGCTTCTATTTGTTCATGAAAAAATCATAATTTAAAAATCTACGCCTGTGATACGCTATTGGTTCTTGAAAAGCAAAAATGTGGCACATCGAAATATTGGTTTTAGAACCAATGTTTCTTTGGGCCAAATCCGTTTCAGACAATTTGCAGTCGATTTACAAATGCCCATCCGCCTGTGTGTCTGTCTGACCGGATGGTGTGCACGATAACTCGCGAATGGTGCAACCGTTTTCTATTAACCCTTGGCCAACGTAATAATTCTTCCAATCTTAGTTTAAATTGGAAGATGACCAACATTCCGATCAGGGTTTAGCCATTGAAATTCCAAAAAGTGCAAGAACTTACACCGCAACAGAAAGAAAATAGCCTCAAAAGAGCTAAAAAGCTGCTTCGCTTGGCCGAAAGTGATGAGTTCGATTTGGATGCAATTTGGCACATCTTTTTTGTTTGGCCCAAAGACGAACCCTATTGAAATTGGGAAAAATCGGTTCATCGGTTGTTGTCCGATTTAATGTAAATGGTGCACTAAACTCACAATATTGGTCCGATTGGGAAGAAATTTTGCGCAGAGTACAGGGTTAGGTCCGGATAGATATATGCTAAGTTTTCTTGAAATCGGTTCAGATTTAGATATTGCTGTCATATATAGCTTCTATGTAAATGGAACACTATTCTGCCAATATTGGTCCGATTGATACAAAATTTTGCACAGATTACTGAATTAGGTCTAGTTTGGTATATACCAAATTTTGTTGAAATCAGTTGATTTAGATATAGCTCCCATATATAATTTCGTCCGAGTCTATGTAAATAGAGCACCATTCTACCAATATTGGTCCGATTGATACAAAATTTTACACAGAGTACTGAATTAGGTCCAGATTGGTGTATGCGAAGTTTTGTTGGAATCGGTTCAAATTTAGATATAGCTGTCATATATAGTTTCGTCCGATTTTATTTAAATGGTGCAGCAGACTCACAATATTGGTCCGATTGAGACAAAATTTTGCACAGATTACTGAATTAGGTCCAAATTGGTGTATGCGAAGTTTTTTTGTCAATTTTTCTATCATTGAATTTTGTCAGAATTCAATGGAATCATCAATTAGTTGATGTCATGACAATCCATTCCACCAGCAAACAATATATTCCAACACTACATACATACATATTGCTATTTCCGGAACTTTCCCTACCACATTATTATCATTTAGCCATGACATCATCAGCAAGCAAATGTCATTGAAAATATGACAGAATATTTGACTAATATCGAATGCACTAAGGCAAAGGCTAACTTTGCCCAAGGTCAAGTTTTTTAGAAACTTCCTAGTAATGGAATATTGAAAAATAATCCTCACCTTCCACGCAGGACGATTTAATAATCCTTCACATGTAATCACATGCATTCCTAGGTAATTTCCTCAGCATATTGATAGACCTACGTCGTTTTTGTATTCTCCCCCAATATTATAAAGTTAAAACAATATTTTTATTAGGAACTAAAATTTAATTTCATTTATTTAATAATATTTATTTTTTTTTAAACTACAAGTTAACATAAATAATACTTCTATGAGATACATATTGTGTTCGGTTTACATTAAATGCAAATTGAATAGGTATACGAATGTGTGATTGTGTGTGTGCGATTTTTCTTTAAAGCTAAGCGGTTAAGTGGAACAAATATCGTGAAGTTCTCTTCTTAAATTTAATCAACTTCCTCCACAGTAGGACCAGAATGGCCACCACCAAAACCATTTGCACCAGCAGCACCCGGTCCACCTGCATGTCCACCACCTGCCTGCTGATGCATACGCGTCATCACGGGTGAACATATTTTACTCAACTCATCCATTTTATATTCAAATTCCTCCTTTTCGGCCTGCGTGTTATTGTCCAACCATTTTATGGTTTCATTACATTTGGCCATAAGGCGATCCTTGTCGGATTGGGGTATCTTATCGCCAGCATCTTCAAGGGTCTGTTTCACACTGAAAACATATGATTCCAATTTGTAACGGGCCTCAACACGTTGACGATGTTTTTCATCTTCGGCAGCATATTTTTCAGCCTCATTGACCATACGATCAATTTCCGCCTGCGATAGACGTCCTTTGTCATTTTTGATGACAATATTCTTGGCATTGCCGGTACTCATTTCCTTGGCGGTGACATTGAGTATACCGTTGGCATCCAAATCGAAGGTAACATCCACTTTGGGTACACCACGTGGTGCTGGGGGTATACCGGTCAAATTGAAGGTGCCCAATAGGTTGTTATCCTTGGTCATGGCACGCTCACCTTCGAACACCTGAATCGTTACAGCTGGTTGATTATCGGCATAGGTGGTAAAGGTTTTCGTTTGCTTGCAGGGTATGCGGGTGTTACGTTCTATCAATTTGGTCATAACACCTCCCGCAGTTTCAATACCCAAGGAGAGGGGAGCCACATCCACCAGCAGGACATCTTGTATGGCACTGCTCTTATCCCCACTGAGAATGGCCGCCTGTATAGCTGCACCATAGGCCACAGCCTCATCGGGATTAATGGACAAATTCAAACTCTTGCCACAGAAGAATTGTTGTAGCAGATTTTGTACCTTGGGTATACGTGTCGAACCACCAACCAGGACAATGTCGTGAATAGCATTCTTATCCATCTTCGCATCATTGAGAGCCTTCTCCACAGGTTGCAAGGTATTGCGGAACAAATCGGCACACAATTCTTCAAATCGAGCACGACTTACTTTTGTATAGAAATCAATACCCTCGAACAGGGCATCCACCTCAATTGTGGCCTCTGTGCTGGAGGACAATGTACGCTTTGCCCTCTCTGCCGCTGAACGCAGACGTCTCAAGGCCCTGGGATTTGTGCGCATATCCTTTTTGTATTTCCGCTTGAACTCATCAGCCAAATAGTTGACCAGACGATTGTCGAAATCTTCACCACCCAAATGGGTATCACCGGCCGTGGCTCGTACCTCAAACAGCGAGCCTTCATCGATGGTCAAGATGGAGACATCAAAGGTGCCACCACCCAAATCGAAAATCAAAACATTACGTTCTCCTTTCAAATTCTTATCGAGGCCATAGGCCAAGGCGGCTGCTGTGGGTTCATTGATAATCCGCAAGACGTTTAGCCCCGCAATGGCCCCAGCATCTTTGGTGGCCTGCCGCTGGGAATCGTTGAAGTAAGCTGGCACCGTGATAACAGCATCCCGCACCGTATTACCCAAATATGCCTCGGCCGTTTCCTTCATTTTTGTCAAAACCATGGAACTAATTTCCTCCGGAGCAAATCGCTTCTGTTCACCCTTGAACTCCACTTGGATTTTGGGCTTGCCACAATCATTGACCACCCGGAAGGGCCAATGTTTCATGTCATCCTGTATTTTGGGATCTTCAAATTTCCGACCAATTAAACGTTTGGCATCGAAAACGGTATTCTTCGGATTCATGGCCACCTGGTTTTTGGCGGCATCACCAATTAAACGTTCCGAGTCCGTGAAGGCCACATAACTGGGTGTTGTACGATTACCCTGGTCATTGGCAATGATTTCCACTTTGCCATGCTGGAAGACACCAACACAGGAATACGTTGTACCCAAGTCAATACCAATTGCCACCATTTTTTGAAATTATTCTTTTTCAGAGGTCGCTTTCACAAATTCAAAATTTATTTTTTTACTTTCAAAACTTTTTTTGAAAATCGATTTTAAAAACGCGTTACAGGTTTTCCTTTTTGATTTCTTCTTCTCGTTGTTTTTGTTTAGCTTTCTCGTAATAAACTGCCGTTTGGGCTCTCGGATTCCGCTATTTATACTGCATGGCTCTCATCCACCAATCCTTAGTCAGCTATGACACCACCACTATGGAAATTTCTTGGCCATTGTGGCATTATCTCGAAGTGTTGAGAATTTTCAGGGGGTTGGTGTAATTTTGTTGGAGAACAATTCCGAATATTCTGAGAACGAAAAAATAAACAGAGAGAGTGAAAGAGAGGTAACTGTGCAGAATTTTGTGGGCAAAAAAAATATTGGCAGAAGAGAGCGAGAGAATATTCTATAGCTCAGCTGCAAAATTATCTGCAAAAATCCGCATGTAACGGAAAGCTAAGAGAAAATTATTCTCTTCAAAATGTTGGTATTTTAATAGGGTATATTCGAAGTCGGAACACCCTATCTAAGCTAAGGGTTTTAATAACAACTTATTTGGGCTCTATAAATAAGCGTGGATTTCTTAATAATATTTTCTGGGACCCTATAAAGAAGCGGCGATTTTTTAATAATATTTTTGGGGGCCCTATAAAGAAGCGGGGGGTGCTTCAACATATTTTTCAAGTGAATTGACTGTAATTTAGTATTTCGGGTTCTCATTGGGTAGCAAATCTGCCAACAAAAATTATCAAAATTGGTCAACTTTTTAAAGTAGCCCCCATACGACTGGACTGTTCCTCCTAAATGTCGGTATTATTGGGGAGCTTGAACATATTTTTCAACTGAATTGGCTGCAATTTCGTATTTTGGGTTCACATTGAGTAGAAAACGTCCATAACAAAAATGATCGATATTGGTCCATGTTTCGGTGGAGCCCACATATAAAGGTCCCTCCTAAATCCCGCTATTTTCGATACATTTTTCAACCGAATTAGCTGTAATTTGGTATTTGAGGTTCTCATTGGCTAGCAAATGTACCTACTAAAAATGATCAATATTGGCTAATTTTTTGTGGTAGCACCCATATAGCCGTACCTCCCAAATTCGATAGTATGGGGGTACTTGGGCACGTTTTTAAACAGAATTGACTGTAATTTTGTATTTTGGATTGGAATTTGATATTTTAGGTTCGCATTGAATAGAAAATCTCCCTACCAAAAATTATCAATTTTTCTCCATGTTTCGGTGTAGCCCCCATATTAGGGGTTATCCTAAATTTTGGTATTTTGGGCATGTTTTCAATCGAATTGCTTGAAATTTGGTTATTTAGATTCTCATTGCGTAGCACATCTGCCTACGAAAAATAAAAAAAATATCGGTCAACTTTTTAATGTAGCCCCCATATGACCGTTCTTCCGAAATTTCGATATTATGGGGAGCTTGAACACATTTTTCATGCAAATTGGCTGCAATTTGATATTTTGGGTTCTCATTGATTAGAAAATCTCCCTACCAAAAATTATCAATATTCGTTCATCTTTAGGGGTAGCCCCCATATGACTGTTCCTCCGAAATTTCGGTTTTATGGGGTGCTTGAACATATTTTTTATCCAAATTGGCTGCAATTTGATATTTTGGGTTCTGACTGAATAGCAAACCTGCCTACCAAAAATTATCGACATTGGGCAACTTTTTAAAGTAGTCCCCATATAACACCACCTCCAACATTTCGATATAATGGGGGGCTTGATCACATTTTTTAACCAAATTGGCTGTAATTTGATATTTCTAATAGGGTAGAAAACCTCCCTACCAAAAAATTATCGATATTGGCGAATGTTTCGATGCAGTATTAATTTTGGTATTTTTGGGATTTTTGAGACGTTTTAAAACCGAATTCATGGGAAATTGGTATTTTACGTTCTCTTTGGGTAGCAAATCGGTTTACCAAAAATTATCAACATTGACCCATCTTTTGGGGTAGCATTCATATAGCCCCCGACATCTTCTTCGATATTTATTTTTCTTCTGAGAGCCCCGATCGATTTTTGGTATGGTGAAGGCTATAAAAAAAGTTCGGACCAATTGAACCTAACGAGGGTTTTTGTTATGTTCCTTTATAAATTTGAAAAGTTGTACCTCAAGGCTGGATACTCAGGTTTTGCAGGGCCAACTAAATGTAAACATTTAATAAAAAATTGAAAAAAAAAACTTCAACAATTATTTTTTTCATTTCATTATTTTTTCTCGCAACAATCGGATCACTTTCGAAATCCTAAAAAAATTAAAAAAAAATATTTTCAATATTGTTTTTTCAATAAATTTGTTTGACTTCTGTAAACGCTTTGCCAAATGTCCGTGTTATTAAGAAACTGCTTCCGCCCGATCAAAGGCCGCCACCACATTGCCTGCAGAGCTGTATCGCGCCTCGAATGTGCAAAATATGAGGGTCCACAATGTTCTAAAGAACAGCTAGAAAAAGATCCAAAATGTTCCGCAAAGACGCAGAACCTAAGTAAATCACCCGACAACAAAAAAACCTCCATGTGGGAGAATCTCGAATGCTGCACAAACCCCTGCCCCGATTTCACACCACGCTTCGATGAACTTTATTATCAAAGTACAAACAAACAGAAGCGCCTGTACCAACAGACATGGGTGGCATGTCCCGAAATGCAAATTCGACCGAAAAAAGTCTGCTGTTATGACACATATCAATTGCCACCAATCGAAAGGAGATCTCCGCAACAGAAACCTAAAACTGCATGTCCTCAAAATGGCTCGAAAGTTTGTACAATTAATACGAACGATACAAAATGCCCCAAGCTACAGATGGCCGGATGTCAAGGTGTCCGTACACCACCAAAATGTAAACGACAAAGGTCTCCGAAAAATTGCCAGAAGGAATGTACGCCATATCCAAGTTTTTCAGAGTGCCTAAAAGATGCAGCCGCACCACCACATCCCGTCGAATGTAAATGTCTAAATCTGCCAATGATGTGTGAGGTATGGTCGGAAATGAGGCGTCGCATGACTTTTGTAAAGTAGAATCGGAAATAGAAGTCCTACTGTAATTTCAAAATTTTCGGTATACAATAAAATTAAATATATGTAAATGTCCTCTATTCAATATAATTTTTTGATAAGGGAATTATGGTCCGATACATAATTCCGCACAGAAATTAAATCTTGGGAGGAGGCCCGTGGTGACATTTTTTTTACAAAAACAAATTTTATAATTTTTATGTTTCTTTTTCCGCCATACTGTCACTTTGAACAGAGAGTAGTTAGTCGTCCTCCGTATAAAGATCGATCGAAAATTGAGCTCATGATCTGGGGAAATTTCCTTTTTGGTTGATGAAAGCCCTTGGCGAGTATATCATTTTGCCCAGAAAAGCAAATTCGCCATAGACCATAAACTAGAAAACCTGACCTGACATGGCGAGTTTGACTCTTTCGGGGGGACACCACCCGCTAGGAGCTCTCATACCCAAAAAAGAAAATTTCCAATCTTCTGAATTTGTATCATAGGACATAAATAGGATGCTCCTAGGATGTTTTTCAGTCGAATTGGCTGAAATTTGGTATTTTGGGTTCTCATTGAGTAGAAAAACTTCCTACAAAAAATTATAAATATTGGTCAATTTTTTTCAATTTTTATAGTAGCCCCCATATAACCGTACCTCTCAAATTTCGGTATTATGGGAAGCTTGAGCACATTTTTCAAACGAATTGAATGCAATTTGTTATTCTGGGTTCTCATTGGGTAACTACTAAAAATTATAAAGTTTGTATCCCCCATATAACCGTACCTCTCACTTTTTGGTGTGGCAAGTTTTTTTGGCTGTAATATAAAGGTACATCACAAAAATATCGGTACTCAAATTCGGTATTATGGGGAGCTTGAGCACAGTTTTCAACTGAATTGGCTGTAATTTGGTATTTGGGGTTATCATTGGATAGAAAATCTCCCTACCAAAAATTATCGATATTGGTCCTTGTTTCGGGTTAGCCCACATATAAGGGTCCCTCCTAAATTCCGCTATTTTAGACACGTTTTTCAACCAAATCTCCTTACAAAAAATTATTAATATTGGTCAATTTTTTAAAGTAGTTCCCCATATAAACGTACCTCTCAAAATCGGTATTATGGGGTGTTTGGAAATGTTTTTCAGACGAATTGACTGTAATTTGGTAGTGTGAGTTCTCATTGGATAGAAAATCTACCTACCAAAAATTATCGATATTGGATCATGTTTAGGTGTAGCCTCCATATGAATATTCCTCTCTGGTATTTTGGGCACGTTTTCCAACCTAATTTATTGGAATTTGATATTTTGAGTTCTCATCGAGTAGAAAATCTCCCTACCAAAAATTACCATTATTGGTCAACTTTTTAAAGTAGCCTCCATATAACAGTTTCTCCGAAATTTCGGTATTATGGGGAGCTTGAGCACATTTTTCAAATGAATTGGCTGTAATATGGTTTTTGGGGTTCTCATTGAGTAGCAAATCTTCCTACCAAAAATTATTAATATTCGTCAACTGTTTAAAGTAAACTCCATATAACAGTTCCCCCCAATATTCGAATTGGTAGTAATTTTGTATTTTGGGTTCAGATTGTGTAGAGATTCTCCCTACCAAAAATTATCAATATTGGTCAACTTTTGAAAGTAGCCCCCATATAACGGAACCTCCCAAATTTCGTTATTATAGGGTGCTTGGGCACTTTTTTACCGAATTGACTGTAATCATGTATTTTAGGTTCTCATTGGGTAGAAAACCTTCCTACCAAAAATTATCAATATTGACCCATGTTTCGGTGTAGCCACCATATTTGCTTCATATATTGTTTGACTCTATAAATCGTGATTTTTTAATAATATTTTATTTGGATCCTTTAAATAGGCTTGGATTTTTAATAAGATTTTCTGGAAAGCTATAAATAAGAGTAGATTTTTTTGTAGTATGTATTTTATTTGGACCCTATTAA